AGAGCACACAAGGGAGGGAGTGAGGATAGGTAAGACACCTAAAAAACTAGCTAGCATTTGTTGCCCTTAACTGCAGAGAAACTAAAGCAGATACCTTAAAAGCAACTGAGGCCAATAGGAAAAGGGGACCAGGAACTAGAGAAAAGTTAGATCAAAAAGAATTTAACCTAGAAGTAAACCCACGCACAGGAAATCAATGTGAGTCAATGCCCTGTATAGCTATCCTTATCTCAACCAGCAAAACCCCTTCCTTCCTTATTGCTTATACTCTCTCTACAACAAAATTAGAGAAGGGCAAAATAGTTTCTGCTGGGTATTGGGGGGAGGAGGGGCGGAGTGGTGGTAAGGGAGGGGGTGGGCAGGGGGAGAAATGACCAAGCCTTGTATCACATATGAATAATAAAAGAAAAAGAAAAAAAAAGGAATGCTATTAGCTACATGTAAAAGAAACTTTGGATTCAGATAGGTCCCAATAAAAGGAAATTTAATTATATCACATTGTTAGGATACCAGAGTTAGAAGTGCCTGAACATAGATAGCTCCATGCATGGCTCCATTGTTCCATCTTCCATCCTCAGTGTATCAGCCAGGATGAGCTAGGATATGTTGCAATAGCTCACTTTAATTCTAATGGTTTACAAAAGCAAAAGTATGTATTTGTTAAATTTATCCTATTTGTCTGTGGTGGGGCACTGCTGGACTCAGAGTGACAAAACCACTGCCATACAGAAGATTGATGATCACCATGCCAAAAGAAAATGAGAACTTAGAATGTCCTGTAGCAGCAATTTGATACTGTGCTTCAGGAGTAACAATTTCTGCTCACAACTTGTTGACTGCTACTAATTACTTCCCCCACCCTCCACACTCACAAGTGGGCTAGGAATTGCAGTTCTACTTATACCTGGAAGGCAGAGACATTTAGTGAACTCCTTAACAATTATCAAACTGAGTATCAACTTCAACTTGCAGTTGATGTTTCACTCCTGAGTCATACCATCTTGAGATACAATACTCAATAAAGAATTGTCACTATTTCTAAGGTAAGGAAGATTTCCCCAAAATCCCCCAACAAACTTCCTTCATTCAATATTTGACAACACTGGAGTACATGGCCATTCTTAGCCAATCATTGTTGAGGGGAATAGGTAGGCTCAATCCAATTGGGATCCACCTTTTAGAACCAGGAATTGGCATACTGTTCTCTTAATTGTAGGGCTTTCTGAAGTTGGCATGGGTGTTGGAAAAGATGATTCTTCTCTGGCATTTTTTTTTTTGGTGGTACCAGAGTTTGAACTCAGGGCTTCATGCTTGCAAGGCAGGTGTTCTACTTCTTGAGTCACAGTTTGGACCCTAGTTATTTTGGAGATAGGGTCTTGCTTTTTGCACAGGCTGGCCTGGACTGAGTGGAAATCCTTCTATTTTAAGCTTCCTGTGGTCATTGGCATAACACTGCACCCACTTATTGATTGAGATGAGAGCTCATGAGCTCTGTGACCTTGAACCTTAATCCTCCCTATCCCACACTCCCAAGTGGCTAAGATTACAAGTGTGAGCCACAGCACCTGTCTCTTCTCTGGCATTTTTTAATGAGTTAAATCTACAAAAGAAGAATGCTTCAGTACTGTGAACAATTTAGATACTGAAATTAAAAAGGGAAGATGGGGGCAAGGCATGGTGTTGGGCTTACAATCTGGCCAACCTCAAAGAACAAATGGGGAGGATTTACAGGGTTATAATTTACTGCAAAATAGATTACAATAAATAATCCCTAAATTCCATCCAACCCTGAGATATTTCCTGTGAGTCTGTAAATGCTACCATTTATAAGCATGGGGCTTGGAACATATTTGTGTCTGTATGGGGGTGTCTGAGAAAGCTTAGTCAATTTCCCTCACTCAGTGCCACTGATCAAATACTAGAGTCCAGTGTGATAAAAAGTTATTTCTTCTACCTATCCCTAGGGATCTCCCAGATATGGAAGAGAAAATTCTGGGATAATGAAGAAGTGAAAACTCAGGGAAGAGGACAGAAAACAATGGCTTAGAAATTGCGCATAGTATGAAGATGAAAAGGCACAGGGCTGTTGTCTTCAAATATGTTCTTATGACTACCAAATGTGTATGCCTATATTGTCTTCTGAGCTTTCAATTGTTGTACTGGACAGCTTCACTCAGATACCTCAAAGGCACTTCAATAGGACCACTGCTAACCATCCTGAGCCTTCTTTTTTGACAAGGCTTATCATCTCCACTATGGGCACCAACTGCCAGTCATCTATTTCATACCTTCCTCATTTGCACCTGGATTACCAACACAACTTCCAAACTGCTTTTCTTGCATCCAATGCAGTGTTCCCTACTTCATTTGACTTAGAGATCCAACAAACCTGTAATTCTGACAATGCCTTCTCCTAATTAAAACCTACTAATATTTTCCCATCAGTTGTCAAATAAATCCAAGTCCTTTGGCAGGAGCTGCAATGTCCTCCTGCTGCCCTTATTTGGAAGACTCCCTCTGGGTTTATACTAAACTGTCTGCATCCCTAGCTCACACACCCTCACCACTTCATAACTTCCTGGTTTTCCTGTTCCTTCTGCTGGAAGCATCCTTTCTTTCTTGTTTGTTATATTTATTCTTAATCATTCTTCAAGATGCTGTTCCTTATCTTGCTGAGAAGCTGTCTCTCCTCTAGGGCCAGGCTAGGTGCCTACATCTGCTCTCAGAACACTCTGAGACCACCTTTTGTCATAGGATATAACCGTGCCATATGGAAATTACTTGACTGTGTCTCTCACCAATGGACAAGCTCAACCTTCTTGTGCAAAGGGACTGTCTCATTTATTCTTTATCTTATCACTTAGTACTGTGCATGGTATCGAGAATGCACTAAGCAACTGTTTGTTGGTCACAACCATTAAGTGGAGATGAAGTTGGGAACAGGAAGAAGTGCAGAGGAAGAGGGAGGAATGGGGGATAGTAGCAAGTGGAAGGTTGCCAAGGGAGTGGGTACAATCCCTTGATTGTGGGTACGCTCCCACAATCAGGATTTCCCTCTTGTGTCTTGAAATCTGGGATTCAGCTTCAGTTCACTCATTCTGGCATTGCCAGAGGAGTTGCTCAGTCTTTACTGGAATGGGGAGCTGGGTTTGGGTCACACATGAGTAGGACTGAATGGACAGTTAAAGGGAAAATTCTCTACTGTTATCGCTCTGACAGTCTGTTCCCTGCCTTGAATCAAAGCACACAGAGCAGGCAGGCAGGCAGACACCTGCTTATTGTTCTCATCACCCCAGCACCACCTCCTCCAAGGACAGGTATCAAAGTCTGTGATTATGACTCCTTCTTGGGGTGGCCTCAAAGCTTATGAAGTTAGCCCAAACTCTGTTATCCAGACGTGGCCACACACAGAAATGTCCCCCTCTCAAAACTCTCCTAATCAGCTATGGCATAGGAATTTCAGCAGGGGATACAGAGACTTCCAAGCTGTGTCTTAGAAGCTCAGACAGCCTCAATGCTGGGAAAAAAAAAATTGGGGGAGAAAGGGAATAGGAGGTGTCACCAAGCGCTGGGGCTGTCTTGCGCCTGTGAGTATATTGGAGGAGGGTGCTCAAAGGAAAGAGAGTAAGTTCAGTACATTTGGTGGCCCAATAGTCTCAGGCAAGCCACTTGACCTTGGCCTCAGTTTAGGAACCTGTAGTAATGGGTTTGACTTCTTTTCTTGGCTGCGAACATCACCACTAGGGAGAGGCAAAGGCTTGCAGAAACCCCAACTCCCCGCGCACAACCCGGATTCCCTTAGGGTGAGATCCGCCGCGAAGATAGAGGGGCAATGATGAAGGAGGTCTGGCCCTGCCGCGGGCCGACTCTTGGGCTCTAGAGGGGACACTCTCGCCTTGCTTCTGGCCCTCTCTTCGCCCGCCTGGTGCGCAGTGTTGATTAACTGGTGTCCAAGGCTTTGGTGACGCGGAGCTTCAAGTGCCGCGAGGGGGAGAAGCAAAGAACAGTCCTCCCGCCCCCCCCACCCACCTCGGGCGCCCAGGCGTGTGAACGTGGGCGGCGGGGAGCGCTGTCCTCCCCTCCTCTCCCCGCCCCTCTCTTCCCCTCCCCTCGCGGCACTCCAGTGTGTGCGGGTGTGTGAGTGCGTGTGTCTCCCTCGCTCCTCTCGCACACGCTCCAGCACTAGTGCAGGCGACGAGCCGGTGGCTCTCAGCTCCGCTCGCTCTCTCCGGCCGCTGCGCTCCCGCCTCGCCGCCGCCACCGCCGCCTCTGCAATCTCAGCCGGGCATGGTGAGTGAGGACCAGCCACCGCGCGCGTCCCGGCTCCCGGCCGGACCCCAGCCTCAGCCGACTCCGTCCCGGGAGTCAGCCTGCGGCGGGAGCGCGCTGCGGGGCCAGGGCGGCTGAGAGGCTCCGGGCAAGGGCCGCCGAGGCGCCCTCGGTTCCCCGCGCGCAGGGGCACCCGGCCCGTCCTGGAGCGGGCTCCGCGCTCCTGCCGGCCGGGACTTAGCTCCTCGAGGGCTGCGCGCTCCCTCCCCGCCCGGCCGCCCGCCGCTTCCCTCCTGCCTCCAGGAGCGCCTGTCGCCCCACCCCGTGACCCGTTCCCCGTCTTGTCCCGCAGGACCCGCCCGGACGGGACCACGCCGTTGCCGCCGCTGCTGCCCAGAGCCGCGCTTCGGGTCCTGCCTGAGCCTAGCCGCGCGCGGGGCCACCGCTGTCGCCGGCGGGGGATGGGGCTGCCCGGGAGGCGCGCCGATCCCGCAGGGGGAGCGCGGAGCCGGCGCGCAGCGTGAGAGCCCTGAGCAGCCCGCGCCGGTCCGGTCCGTGCGTACCGCGCACCGCCGCCGCCCGCGCCTCGATGGCGCCATCGCCCCGGCGCCGCTGACCGCCCCGCACCGCTAGCACAGCTCGCGCTACCGCCCTCGGAGCCCGGCCGGCCAGGGTAGCGGCCTGCCGCGGAAGCTTCCCCGCGCCCCCCCCTCCCTGCGCCCAGCCCCGCCATGGCGCTGCGGCGCCTCCTGCTGCTGCTGCTGCTCTCCCTGGAGTCCCTGGACCTGCTGCCCGGCGCTGACACCGCCCGCGGCCGCACCGCCAACCGGACCCTGAGCGCGGGCGCCGCTGCCGTCGGGGGTCGGCGTCCCGGGAGCGCCCTGGCCCGAGGCGGCCGCGAGCTGAACGGTACCTCCCGGGCACCCGGCGTCCCAGAGGCGGGGAGCCGGCGGGACAGTCCGCGGTGGCGGCCGCAGCGGCGGCCAGTGCGACTGTCACCTATGAGACATGCTGGGGCTACTACGACGTGAGCGGCCAGTACGACAAGGAGTTCGAGTGTAACAACAGCGAGAGCGGCTACCTGTACTGCTGCGGCACCTGCTACTACCGCTTCTGCTGCAAGAAGCGTCACGAGAAGCTGGACCAGCGCCAGTGCACCAACTACCAGAGCCCCGTGTGGGTACAGACGCCCAGCACCAAGGTGGTGTCGCCGGGGCCCGAGAACAAGTACGACCCGGAGAAAGACAAGACCAACTTCACCGTGTACATCACCTGCGGGGTGATTGCCTTTGTCATCGTGGCTGGTGTCTTCGCCAAGGTCTCCTATGACAAGGCCCATCGCCCTCCCCGGGAGATGAACATCCACAGGTGAGAGCCACTGCCTGGTCCCTGACTCAGTCTTCCCGGGGCTTCAAACCCTCTTAATTTGCCTCCCTTGTCCTCTTCACACAAGCCTCTCTTGATGCTCCTGGTTCACTTCCAACATCGCTTCTTTTATCTTGTATGCTGTCTCCTCCATTCCTAGGAACAGGAAGGCATGTTTTGGTGTTAGGGAGATTTATAAGGCAAAGAACCAGTAGAGTCCATAAAGTTCAAGTATTAGAATTTTACTAATTCTGTAATCCTGAATGGAGATCCTAGGTGCTGTGTTCATGACGCGTGTGGGCACTTTGGTGTAGGCTCTTATGGACGTAGTTTTTTGAGTCAAAGCAGAGTGCCATTTTCAATACAGGAGTTGATCAGTGTTGGAACCTTACTGAAAAAGAGTAGCAAATAACGGTTTAGCGTGAACTGGGATGTTCCCAGGCATTAGGGATGGGTTGATATGGAAAGGCTGGTGCCTTTGCTGGAAAGATGGAATAAAGGTTTCTACTTCCACGTTGACCAAGCACAGATGGTGTGTCTGTGTTAGAGTGGGATGCTTCTCTTTCCTGCTGAGACTGGAGGACTTGTTCTCTGAGTTAATAGTTCTTGCTTGTACAACTTAGTTGGGCATCTTTTACTGTACACTTGGTAGAGGCGGTGGGGGCTGCCTCCTTCCAAAACTTACCCCAAGAGCTCAAAACATGGTAGCCCGTGATTCCGCTCTGACTACCTCCCTCCCCATAACTCTGGCTCCCAGGGAGTCCTTCAGAAGTCTAAAGGGACATCAGGAACCCAGTCTCTCCTTTAGGAACCACTCTCCCAAGGGATACAAAGTTAGCTTTGCTCCCGTTGCCCTCCTTACCATGAATGGCTGGATGTGGTTCAGTAAAGTTTTTTCAGGGACCCTGAAGGCACTGACTTCCGGAAATGCCTCCATTTCTGGCACATGGTGTAGGCACTGACCTAATAATCAGGATTAGCTCCTAGACTGCTGCTTCTGAATTGGCTCACCAGGCCCCACCCTGCATTAACCCATCCACCTCTCTCTCATTGTCACACCCTGCTTATTATCCTCCTGGCCTGAAAATCCCCTCCCTCACAGCTATGGACATTAATCACCCTACCTTGTGGAAGAGATATGATGCAAATAGAAATTTCTCTGCATTCTGAAAGAGTTGCTTGATACTGTGGGTATTGAGAAAAGATGATACTCCCTGACAGGTTTTATTGACCCAAATCCACTAAAGATGTATACTTCAAACTTGAGGGATGGAATTGGGCTGACCTCAAAGGGAGCACCCCTCTTTCTTCATCCAGTGTGGTCACTGCCTTCGCTACCTCCCTCACCTTACTCAGCATCTCCCTCACCTTACTCAGCATCTCCCTCATATCTGGACTGGCCCTGGAGAACTGATGTGAGAATTGTTAGTAGTGGTCTTTGGTCATTCCCTACTCTCAAAGGCAGAGGACAGGCAGGACAGTGAGCAAAATAAGGACAAGATACTTCCTCCATTGAGTTTCATCTGGCAGCCAATTCTCTCTTGGCTCAGCTTGGAAAGCAGAAAAGGAATCACCCGTGGGCAGGTGTCTTTCTGAAGCAGATGTGCTTGTCCTTCTCATCTGTCTACCTCTACCTCAGGACTCAAAGGCTCCTCTCCTCTTTTCTCCTCTTGTCCTCCTCTCATCAGTCCTTCTGCTCTGGGTTTTATCTCTTTTTGGTTGATTCCAAAAAGAGATAAACCTTTCTTTGGGTTTCTCTTTTCCCTGTGCCATTGTTCTCTGTACTCTTAGAGAAAGCTGCCCTTTTGTCCTACTCTGCCGTCTCACACAGAGTTTACTCATCATCACCCTATGATAAGGTGGCCTCAGCTTCTGAAATTAAGCATCTTTAGATGTTGGCATTGGCACGTGACCCTGGGGAGGTCACTGTTCCTCTTTGTGTTTGTCCCCTCTTCACCACACAGACATCCCCTAGCCCAAACTAGGGTAAAGGTGGTGACACCATTGGGACATTTCCTCTCTGGGGTTGGGGAAGAGAGGAAACCACAGGAAATGAGGTGAATCTCAGGTCTCAGACCATTATGTAAATATAGGATGCTTCTCTCTCAAGTTCACCTCCTGATTTTATTCAGTTCACAGCTCCCCTCTCAGCAGTTGCAGTCTTGCCTTATCAGTGCTTTGGAAACCATCATACTGGTGCTGGTTGGGAAGGGGACAATATCTGTCTGTGTATGTTTGGGCAGGGCTGAGGAACAGGAGGACAGAGATGAGAGATCAACTAGGACACTTCATGGTGACCTTGGACAGGAGAGGAGAACATATTTTTCAGTTCTGGGTAACTCTGGGCATGGGAGCATCCCATCTTAAGTTTTTTTTCCCCAAGCATGTTAGAGTGAGTATTCACATCACTTATGACTTCCTGGATGGGAGCATGGGGTTCCTCTCATCTGTTCACACCTCAGAGATTGCTGTGCAGACTATCTTGTTGGAGAGTGAAGATAGAGAAAAGGAAGGACTATTGGGGAAGGAGATTAGTATTTGAGCTGTGATGATTTTTCCCTAGGGAAAGTGGGGAGAAGAAAGAAAATACATTGTCAGAGGTGGAGGGGGAAAGTAGGATTGGCTTTTAGTTATAAACTCTGAAATAGTTCAGCCAAGACTTTTTCTTACTGAAAAGGAAAGCAGAGCTATTCTGGTGTGTGATCCTCTCTGACGATGGGACTTGGGCAAGCAGACCTGAGTCTGAAGGAGTTTCAGTGAGAACGGCCTCATTGCAAAGGGATATTTGTGGGAGTTTAAGAAGGAATGGAAGAAGGGATCGACCATCTGCTCTGCCTTGGTATTCCCAGGCTGGGCAACCCTCTGTCTACCCATGTACTCCTTAGGGTTGGACTTCCTTACATTCCTCCATCCCCTGAAGGGAAGAACAGTTTTTGTCTTTGCCAGAAGTGATTAGACCTTGTTGTCATGATTCTGAGTGAGAAGTGTCTGGAGGGGAAACTCCCAGCTGTCTAGTGGATTCTAACAGATGAACACCACGTCAAACCCAAGAAGCTAGACCCCAGGAAGGAGAAAGAGATGGCACAGAGACTCAAGACAGAGCCATGCCTGATGTGAACTGCCCACCTTTCCTCATTGGAACCCCAGTTACCACTAGGATCTTTATCCTTTCTTTCCCCTATTTTAGAACTGCCCAGACTAAGGCTTGAGCCAATGGACTACAGGTGTTCACCAATTTTAGTGCCTCCTGAGTTGTTCTTCCCTGGAGCTATGGGCTCAGAGAGCTGTCAGTGGGTGTTCTCCGGGGGTGTGTGCTCCGCCCAGGAACTGGCCAAGGAGGCTGGCCCCTTTTGACATTTTATTCTATTCTAGCTGTCACACAGCACATCCAAACCGGTTCCATCCTCCTCACCCTGAGTTGATTCATTAGTGTCTTGGAGATGAGAATCACTCTGAGGGAGGAACTGTGTGGCTTCTTCTTCTTTTTTAAATGGCTAATTAACAGATGGGTCAGGAAGCTATTAGGATGCTAAAGACACAGTTGGTGAAGTCAGAGGTGCCTGGGGCCCTCCCACTGCCTGTACAAGGATGGGGTGGGAGGGGCAGCGTAGGAAGGTGGGCAGCAGGGAGGATGCTCGGGCTGTGGGAAGAAAAGCCTGAGTGAATGTCACCAGAAGAAAAGAAATTCATCAACAGAGTCCTTCATCTTTGAGTTTCCCTGCTTAATTCGAGGGTAAGCCAAGGCGATGTACTATTCCACCTTTTTTCTCCAGAAATTAATTACAAACCCAAAGGGCTCTTACTTTTCCTTATAAGCCATGTAACTGCAGTAACTAGAACACTTTGGTGGCTGATTTAATGAAGAACTCTTCCTGGGCACTTGGGCAACAAATTATCTAGTTCCCTCAAATACTCCAGTTTTTGAAATACTGTGGTTTTCCTATAATAATTTGATCTCAACAGAGTCAACTTCTTTTTTACTTCAAATATAACAGTTGGAAGGAAAGGGAAAAAAATCTTGCCTTGGGCTGAATGTTTTAGCCATGTATGTTCTCCTATTTTATTATTTTTTTTAATGTGTGTAGAGAAAGTCAGAAAATTGTGGAAAGAGTTGAGAAGGCTAATGTTGGAGAGTTTTAGGGGAAGGATGGCAGAAAAACAAAAACAAAGATAGCAAAAGGAGGAAGGCAACTGGGGGAGAGGTTGGGACCACCACTAATGGGACAAAATGGCATTGCCTAGACCCTCACATGGGTGTGTTTTTTTCCTGACTCTTGCATATACATAGATGCATTAGGTCACCAGATGAATCCTGATCACCTAGAGTGGGCAAGAAATGTTTTGAACTAATCCAATATACCTTTATAAAGCACATGTTACCTTTGACACATGAGACTAGCAAAGTTCACACTTGCTTTAGCAGTGCAACCATGCAAATACTTTCAGATATCCCTAGATTTTGACAATTCTCCCTGATCTCATCGCTCAGTGTCTTCATGCTCCTTTCTTGCCTTGTTCCATGCTCAGAAGGCCTGCATATTTGTCCCTTTCCCCCTACCTACAGCTCTGTCCAAGACTCAGAGTACATTCATTTTGGGGAATCTGCTGCTAAGATACAAAGAACTTCCCCACAGTTCTAGGCTGCCAAGATGCAGGTGGAGGAAAAAGTCTAACTCATTGTTTTCAACAAATTTTAATGAGCGTTCAGATTGACTGTGCCATTGATTCAGATCAACTGTGCACGAAGCAGTGGTTAAGACAGCTGAAAAAGTGAGCTGACTGAAGGAGATTAATTCACCACCCCAGACAGACCTGCCTATAGACCGGAATAAAAGGAAACCACACCAAAAGGAGCTTCATCCTTCTAGGTCTGTTGCCTAATTTCTCCAGGCCTGGCAGGGTTGTGTGTTAGGTCTTAACTCTATCTCTTTTGTCTACTCAGGGAGAACCCCTATCTATCATATATTGGAGCTAGCATCTCACTCCTGGCTCTAGAGGTTTAC